TTCAAGAGCCTGGCGAGATATGCTATCCCTCTGTTCAAACAAGGCGCTAAAGTTGTTGGCAAAAGAGCATTGCAAGCAGCCACAGAAGTTGGTCAAGATGTACCCAAGGAAAAAATGTAAAAGAATCTGTAGAGACTCACGGAGGTGACTTTGTTAAAGACTTTGCCGAAAAAGGAGCAAAAGCCCTACTACAACAAGCAGGGCGCGGAAGAAAGAGAAGGCAAGGCCAACGAAGTAATTTATCAACTACAAAGAGGTTAAAACTGTGTTCTCATATAACAGTCCCAAGACATACCAAATGGATTACGGAAGATGAAAGCAGCCACGATGATGAAAGCAGCTATGATGAAGAATCTGACAGCGAAACCCCTGAAACAAGTGACGATATATATTAGAAAGATAATTTTGTAAAACGTTTTGAAGAAATAAATTTAAAAACTGAAATATTGTGTAAATTTTTGCCGGCAAAGCCGGCTCTTTCCGCCCGCGCGATCCGCCCGCCTGATTAGTGTACAAATATGTTGTACGTTAATATATGCATGCACGCAAGCGTCGCTAATGACTTAGCAACAAATAACAACGTATATAACGATTACATGTTTTTATTTCAAAATATATTACAACTGTTCCAATTCTAACTTATATTCTTGATAAGCTTACTTATGATCTGACTCGGTCATCTTAACAGTATATATGTATGTAGAATATTTGCTAAAATAACGTTGAACAACATGTAAATATTGACCTTAACAACGACGTTGACAACTCGGGATTAGGAACTGTTTAGTTTAAAATATGTCTAAAATATGTTTAAAATATGATTTTTGTGACGAATAGATTCCTTATTTGCCCTCGTTCGTTTTCGTTCATCATGCGGCAGTCATGTTGTCTTTGACTAGGATGACCGACTTGACAACCATTACAGGATTCCATACAAAGTCTTTCAACTTTTGGCTGCAAAGCGCTCCTGTCTTGTCTAAATCGCTTTCTCTCTTCCCGCACGGATAACCCGCGACGCCCGCGCAATGAATATCCTAATCTACCCGTATTTATCCACACAGTAGAAAAATGCAAATCTCTGATAAAAGTTAATCCTTTAATTAGTGTCACCCTAACAACACGTAGCAACCGGTGTGCTTTAATATAGCTTAAATTTATTAACCTTATCCGAGTTTTAGTACTTTAAAAAACTACCAATAAAATATAGAAATCGCTTGACAATTATATATCATAACCTCTAATTTCCATGTGTTTATATAACTCTAAACAGCAACATATTCTCTCGTATATAGACCTCATATGGCAGACCGGGATTTAAATATTAGTTTAATTGTAGATACATAATAACTCTTACCGCATGCTATTTCTCAGCGTTTTGACGCTTGATAATATTTATATATTACTTGAAAACAAAACATATAGCTGTATACCCCGAATATATAAGTTTTAGATATATAACACTAATGCTATTTCATATAGTATCAGATTTTTTACTCCTCTAGCTAGGAGCTAAATTAAAGGAATCACTTGACAATAACAGCAAAATGCTAGAGCTGTACTTATAAAACTCCAGACAACAACATATTCTCTTGTATATAGCCCTAACTATTGTGTCGCACACGAGGAGGGACGCTAAAAAATGCTTAGTCAGCAAGTTTCGCCCGATCGTGTTTAAGCTCGCCCGCGTGACGTCATTGCATATAATTATGACGTATGCTAATGGTGACGTCATTACGCACCCTCATTTGTACGAGTATTAATTATAAATGAGGTGGTGGACACCCACCACCTCAAAACTCCACCACACTCCACCACACTCTACCACCTCACACCACCTCATCCACCACCTCAAAAATAAGGCCCGAACGGTACCTATATTACTACTTACGTTTAATTCGTACAACTCTTAAAAACAAAGCCTTTACACAACAATTGTTCTCAATAGTCAACAAATTCGCATGCCAAAATAAATTCATATAAATTCGCCTGCACGCAGCACGCTACCTGATTTCCGCCTAAAATTCAGGTTGTGTGCAGCCTACTTATAATTAGTTTAATTAATAATTCTAGATTCTACTGACTCGGTCACTGGCTCCGAAAGAGGCTTTTTTATTTTTGCACGCGGACATATTGGTTATGAGCGAAGGAAAGTAATATAATTTTGTATGGAAGCCAAATTGATTGTCATATAAGACATTTTTCTTTTCAAGAAAATCTAACAATCTGCTACAAACAAGCTTCTCTCATAGTTTACTAAAGATGGACAGGAGGGAAATTGGGCGATAGTTGCATAGGCAGGCAGGAGATCCCTTCTTGTATACAGGTATTACATTAGCCAATTTAAGACTCGTTGGGACCACACCAACTTCGAAAGAAGCGTTGAACAAGGTTACTAAAGGCTTTGAAATTATTTGTCTAAGAATTTTAAATTAAGCACAGAAATAGGTACACTAAAAGGACCAACAGCCATCCCAGTCTTAAGTTGGGATATTTCTGTCTCAATTTCATTAGTAGTAGCGGGAAAGATAAAAAAGCTATTTGGTAATGGGGATTTTAGATTTTCTATAATGGTGAATTTGGAACCTTTGGTATTAAATTAGCCAGGTTATTTCCTATGTTTGCATTAGCAATAATTTTTGGGTCAGTTATTTCAACATTGTCCTCTACAATTTGAATAGTTTTCTGGTTTGTCTTTGGCTTAAAATGAATTATTTCTTTAATTCCATTCCAAATTCTTTTGCTATCATTGATGTTTTCTAGGAAATAACAGTTATAATATTGCCTTTAACTAATCTTTAAGAGATGATTTATTTTATTTCTGTAACATTTAAATTTAATATGGTAATATATAGATTTTGTCTTTAAATATTTCTTATATAGCTTATTTTTCATTTGTATAGACACTTTAATTGCAGGGGTTATCCATGGTTTTGATTTAAATTTCAGTTCTCCGCTCGATATTTGTTTTATGGGGAAGTGTTTGTCTATTATTTCTGATGTTTTATCATAGAAAGAATCAAACATACTAGACGGATTGCAATTGGATGTAAAAATTGTTTCCCAGTTTACAGCTTGCATTTCAGTAACTAAATCTGTCTCCTCAAATTTAGAGTAGTCTCTTTTATATATTTTGACACCAGGTGGAAGAGAAGAAAATTTATTAAAGATAACAAAATTTGGTAAATGATCTGTCAGGTCATAAACTAGATTCCCACTGATAACAAAATGTTCAACTGAGTTAAAGGCAATATTATCAATCAAAGTGGATGAATGGTCAGTAATTCTAGTTGGTTGTAGAATTTTAGGTTGAAAAAAGAAAGAGCCAAGAGTATTGATAAAATTTTCAGAGCCAGCATAGGAATCGTATTTTAAAAGATCTATACTGAAATCCCCCATTATCATACAAAGTTTATTTTCTCGATGGATTTGATCTATTGTCAAATTTATATAGCTCGTGAAATTATCAAGGTTTCCATTTGGGTGCCGATATATTATTCCACATATTAAATTTTGTTGACCATTAAGATGAATGAAGGGTCTCAAAATCATGATTAGAAGTAGTAAATTCTAACCGATAAATTCTAACTATATATAAAAATTAATAATAAATTCTAACTTTATATAAAAAGCAACACCCCCTGCATTTGAAAGACTAGGTTGTGAAATAAAACTGTATCCTTGTATGTTAATATTTGTCAGAGGTTCCTTATCAACTTTAAATTTAATTTCTGAAAGTCCAATCAGAGAAAATGGAAAATTTAATTCAGAAAACATGTCATAATTGGCAGTCAAACGTCTTATAATACAGTTTAAAGCTGAAAGTGATTTAGTATCTATTGCACACTGAGTAATATCATGGTTACTGTGAAAATCATCAATACTATAGTAATTGAAATTATTATCAAATGACATATTCAAATCAATATCTGAATTTGTAAGATGAGGAATATTAATTGAAATTGGGGAAGTTATATTAAGAAATGGCAAATTACCAAGCTGTGTTACCCTGTCGACAGTGACATTCAAATTGTTACTTATAGACATTTCAAGGTATTAGTGATACTCAGATGATTTTAATTAGACATTAATTGTAAGATTATTTCCCCTTAATAATAAAAGGGCGAATATATGGTAGAGACTATATCTAAAGTGTATATCAAACATTAATCAAATTTAAAATGATAAACTTATCTTGACACTGTTGTTAAGAGTTTAGTAATATCTTCTTTATTCCTAATGATTGTGGCAGGACTGGCTTGGTCTTTCCTCAGATAAATTTTTCCATTTGATGACCAAATAAATGAATATTGAAGATCCCTTTTCACTTTCATACACTCTCCGAATAATGCTTTATTTTTTTCTGTAAGACTCTCGTTGATGTAGATTTTATTGTGTGAAGAAAACCCAAGGTTTCTAGTTGTAATATCTTTTAATACTTTTCGTACCCTGTAGTAACGTTCTTTGGTATTACGACGAACGAACTTCACGATGATAGTTGACTCGGTACGCTTCCCTTTATACTTATTGCTGATCGGTAAGCGATGACTCACTGAAATATCCTCTTCTTTAATAGATAAACCCATTAACTCGCTGTAATGTTGTAGTTAAACACTTTTATTGATAACCTCTCGTATATATGCACATGCAAAACTAACTAATAAAACTATATCTATTGGCGCCAAAAAGTCTTAGTCTCAGACCCCGCACGCGGTCCACCTGCGCGCCAAGGCAACAAAACAACAATGAGCTTATTAACTATATTATATCCCTCCCTTTGTCAGATGATAGTTCCATCTATTAATATAAACATTAACGTGTCCGAGTCACTGTTCCTTTGACTAATATGCTGTGGACAGTGATATTGTCCGAACTGTCATTTGGTTCACATTGGTTCATAGTTTACATGGTCCGCGAACCTTGCTGGCTGTCTTACGTTCCGTTTCGGTCCTTGTTGAAGTGTTTTTTGTTCTTGGGGGTTTGATGGTCTTGGAACCTTTGGTTCAACTTCCTTTTAATCGTGTTTGGCTGACTTGGTTGAGATCACCTTTGACAACCTTTGAATCGTTCTTGGCAGTGACCATTGTTCCCTTTTTCTTTTCTACGACAAAAGGTTGAGGGTTGTATGGAGCACTGAATTTGTTTTCCTTCGGCTGTTTCAGAAGGACGGTGTCACCTGGTTTGATGCAACTTTCTTTGGCACCCCGACGGTTGTCTGCGCAAGATTTCATTTGTTCTTTCTTCCGAGCATCATATTCAGCCATTGCTGTCTGTTCTGGTTTTGAACTAGAGGGCATCTCCGGTAACATTGTCTTTATCTTCCTGTTGTTGAGGCTTTCGGAGGGGGATATGTTAGTAGTGGAATGGGGGGTTGCCCTGTAGTTGAGGAGAAACTGGTTCATCGCTTGCTTCCAGTTTTTCTTCTCGATGATTGCAGCCCGAATACATTTCTGTAGTGTGCGCATAAAACGCTCGGCCTCTCCATTTGCTTGAGGCCAGTATGGCGTGATCTTGCGGTGAGTAAAACCGCAGTGCTTGGCGTATGACTCAAACTCGGCACCGTTAAATGGTGGGCCATTGTCGCTTTTCAGAACTTCTGGAAGGCCTTGTCGTGAAAATATTGCATCCAACTTTGGAAGGACAGCTTTTGCGGAAACCGTGGTGAGTACTTCAACTTCGGGGAACCGACTAAACGCATCGATTACGACTAGGAGGTATTCGCCGGTTGGAAAAGGGCCCAGGAAATCCATTGCAACTTCTTTCCAAGGTGCGGATGGCAGCTGGGTCATCTTGAGTGGCTCAGGTGGAGGGTGGTTGCCCGAAGTAGCAGCCTGGCAGGGGAGGCAATTCTGAATGGTTTCTTCGACCATCTTGTCGATGTTAGGAAACCAGACTTTCGAGCGGAGTAGGCGTTTGGTTTTAATGATTCCTTGATGACCAATGTGTGCGAGATGGATTGTCCGGCGTCTTAAGGAGGTGGGCATTACGATTCGGTGTCCACGAAGTATAATTCCTTTATGTACTGACAGTTCGTCACTCACTTTCTTGTATTCTGTCGTGGACGGATCCGACCAATTGTTGGTTTCGATGGCTTGAATGACCATTTGCATTGTGTCATCAACTGATGTTTCAAGCTGGATTTCTTGAAGGGTCATGGCGGTGGGCACGGCATTGGCAATTACATAGTTAACGTATTCTTCAGCAACGCTTTCCGGTTGGGGCTCTGAGCAGTTTGGGTGTCGGCTAAGGAAGTCAGCTGGGTTTTTCTCATCTTTACCAGGTTTGTAGACAAGATGATAGTTGTAAGGCATTAAACGAAGCTTCCAGCGATCAATTCGCGCGGAGGTGGCTTTATGACTGCGAAAGATACCAATGAGGGGCTGATGATCGGTTATGATGGTAAATTGAGCACCATATAGGTAAAGGTGGAAGTGCTCAACGGCCCAAACTACTGCGAGCATTTCTTTCTCAGTCTGAGAGTATCTAGTTTCGACATCAGACAGGACGCGGCTGGCATAGCAGATAACTTTGTCGTTTTGGACTAGCAGTGCACCAAGACCAACAGGGCTTGCATCAACAATCACTTCTGTGGCTTGGTGAGGATCGAAGTATGACATGACTTGGTTGTCAGTGAAAGCTTTCTTGAGTTTGTCAAGGGCTGCTTGCTCGATTTCTTCCCATTTCCAGGTTGCGTCGTCTTTTGTCAAGGCACGCAAAGGAGCTGTGATATCAGCATAACCGGGTATGTAGCGTGACAGGTACTGGGCCATTCCGAGGAGAGATTTGACTTCACTTGAACTACGCGGAGGTGTGGCATTCTGGATAGCTTCAACCTTCTTGTGGTCGGGGCGTAGTCCTTCCGCGCTGAAAATGTGACCATAGAACATTACTTCCGATTTCGAAAAGTGGCACTTCTCTTTGTTTAAGCGAAGGTTGTGGGACTTTAGCCTTTCAAGGACTTGACGGAGGTTGGCATCATGAGTGGCTTGATCTTTGCCAAAAACGATTATATCATCGGATATGTTCTTACAGCCTGGTAGGCCAGTCAGCAGCTCTTCAATGGTGTTTTGGAAGATCTCAGAGGCGGCATTGATGCCGAACAGAAGTCGTTTGTACCTTCGAAGGCCGAGGTGTGTGCTGAACGTGGTGATGTGCCGGCTTTCTTCTGCAAGTTCAAGTTGATGGTAGCCAGAGGATAGATCCAAAGTTGTAAACACGGCTGCACCATTTAAATCAGCTACCAGGTCATCGATTGTGGGCATCAAATGTTTTTCTCGTTTGACCGCTTGGTTGGCCTCACGCATATCAATACATATTCGGACTTCGCCCGACTTTTTCGGGACGACCACAATGGGACTGATCCATGGTGTTGGTCCATCAACCTTTTCGATGATATCTAACTCTTCAAGCCGTTTGAGCTCTTTCTCGACATCAGATCGAACGTGGAATGGGATTCGACGGTGGGGTTGTTGTTTGGGGGAAACATCAGGATCAATGTGCAGTTTAACAGTTTTACCAGTTAGCTTTCCAATGCCAGAGAAGAGGCATTCGAACTCTGGGGGATACTGATTAGTTGATGGTATGTGATGGGTAGTGCTGTTGATCGTAACTTTGAGCAAGTTGAGTTGGCAGGCGGTGGTGTAGCTTAGCAGATTTCCAGAGTTCCCGTGAACTACATGGAATTGGGCAGAAAGGTGCTTAGAATCAGTGGAAATGTTGGTTTTGATAACTCCTTTTAGTGGTAGTGGACGTAGTGATCCATAGGAATAAATTTTGTGGTTTGTTTGTTCAAGACTGATTCCTTTGTTGCGGGTAATTTTGTTAAAGGTGGCATCATCGAGGATATTGACAGAAGCGCCAGAGTCTATCATGACGGATACGCTGTGCCCTGCAATGTTTACGTGGCACTTTGGTGATGCGGGTGTTCCAGAGAGATTTGCGATTGTGAAAGCATAGTCTGGTTCGGAGTCAGAATCGGGTGGAGACTGGGGGCGGGTATGGGTGACATTCTTTACATGCTGTGATGATGGGGGTTTGGTGCGGCAAACCCGGGCAAAATGTCCGATTTTCCCACAAGATTTGCAGTCCTTGCCTCTTGCTGGGCAAACTCTGATATGCGGGTATGTCCCACCGCAGTTTCCACAGGTTTCTCTGGCACGAGATTGCTCAGCGCCTCTGAAATTACGTAATCGTTGGTTCTCAAAACGCGATCTTGGGGGGCCTGTGGCTTCCGTATTTGGCTGTTGTATATTTCCGTGACGAACTGAATTGACGCTTGAGAATTCTTGTTGCTCGACTTGGCTGGCTTGTTTTTCGCTTAGTTCGATGGCTCTGCCGGTCTTCATCAGGTTCGGTAGATCAAGATTGTCACGAAGGGCTCGTCGGCGTAAAGAGTTGGACGTACAGGTCAAAATAATATGGTCTTTGATCTCTTTAGCGGGGTCGCTAAATTCGCACGTTTGAGAAAGATGGCGTAATCGAGTATGATAAGAATCAAGAGACTCGTCGGGTTTCTGTTTCGCTTGGCGGAAGTTAAAAACTTCGAAAGCCACATTAGTTTGAGGTGAGAAGTACTGGTTGAGCTTTTCCACTACGGTTTTGTAGTCTTCGTTGCTGCTAGTCGGCAGAGTATCGTAGATATCATCGACATCAGGGCCAGCGTAGTGCAAGAGCAAAGCTGTTTTTCTTTTATCAGCTGTGATGTTAAGTCCGCAAAGTAGCCGTTCGAATCTCGTGAGCCACTTTTTCCATCTTGGGCCAGCATTAGAGTCCTCGTGTACATTAAACGGTGGAAAATCTGGGAGCGAAGCCATGGTTGAGGTGAGTTATAAATACTAGAATTCTGCGATATATATTACTTGTCTTGTCTGATCGCGGTACGTTGTCTATACTCTTGACAGTGTGTTGTTTTGGGTATACTTCGGCTGGTTCACTTCTTGTATGCTTGTGTGATCGTTGCGGGTTTCGATCGTGTTTCCTCGTCGCCAGATGTAATGTTGCAGTTAAACACTTTTATTGAAAACCTCTCGTATATATGCACATGCAAAACTAACTAATAAAACTATATCTATTGGCGCCAAAAAGTCTTAGTCTCAGACCCCGCACGCGGTCCACCTGCGCGCCAAGGCAACAAAACAACAATGAGCTTATTAACTATATTATACTCGCCAACCTTTGTTACCAACTCATCAGTATTTTCATCTTTCGTAACCGGTATGCCTTTAATCTCAAGGCTCTCCCTTCTCGAATATTGTTCCATTTTATTGATCGATTCCCTGAACTGTTTCACATGACTTTCCATCATTTGGACAGTTGATTTCAAAATTTTATTCTCGGATATTATTTGTTTTCTCTCAACATCTCGTTCGCCTAACATGCTCATTACTTCTTCATATTTCTCATTCGTCATATCAATAAATGATCTCATCTCTTCGAATTTCGAATTTAGTTCAGAAATTTCAGACTTCAACGGAACTAATTTTTCATCCAATAAGGATCTAAACTCCTCCAAATTAATAGATTTTGCTGACATGATAGAATTAAAGACTTACACAAACGACACAAACATATAGACATCAAAATATTTGTGTATTAGCAGTCAAAATTGCGAATTTTGCAGAGCAACAAAATTCACCGCCATCTTCTACTTCGAACGCTGACCTTTAAGTCCAACAACCTTAGTCTTCGGATAAAGGTTAACAACCTTAGTCTTCGGATAAAGGTTTCCCGGGCATAAATAATCTACCATATTCGCTTGCGCGCCGCATTTTAAAAATCGTTTGTTTACAGACATTCTCTCATAGCAACAAGTAATTTGCCACTCGACAACACCCGCGTTTTTCTGTTTCAACGTTCACATGATCGTGACGTCATTAAACACTCAACCTGAATCCGCAGTATCAGTTGCTCCCATTTTCATCCGACCTGAAGCCCTCAGTTTAAAACTAACTCTAAAAAACGGCGAGTGTAATTTGTGGAAAAGCCGGACGTCGCGTGTAATTATTGCATTGAAAAAACGTCGTGTGTAATTCTGAAGAAAAAAACGACGAGTGTAATTTTGAAGAAAAAAAACATCGAGTGTAATACTAAAAAACCCGTCGAATGTTTATAGTCATGGCCCTTTTCGGCCATCGTAGGCTGTTTATATGAAAATCATTGAAAATGTAGTTAAATAGGTTGCGTCTGGAATTGGAGCTATGGTATGCGAAGAATCCGTGATTCTGTTGACAGAGGAACTCTGTCTTCTATTTATAATGCTTTAGTACGTCCTCATTTTGACTATTGTAGTGAGGTATGGGATACCCTCGGTGAGGGGCTCTCTAGCAGACTTCAAAAACTGCAGAATATTGCTGCAAGAATAATAATGAAATTGAGGTAAAAACACTCCTGGTATAGAAGCGCATAATATATCGCACCTTGGACGTTTAAAGAGTTCGGGGACAATGCTCCTCCGGGAAAATTTATTGAATCCAGAGTCAGTAGAGTGGCATTTGGGGGCTATTTAATGTGTTTTTGTGATTTGAAATTATCACTCATAAATCACATAAATTTACATTACAAGAAATGGAAAGATATTGCATGCTTCGTACTGGTCAATCATTTTCCAAGGGGCCTCATAATTTCGCCCCCCCCCCCTCTTTCCGGCTACATCTACGGCAGAAGAGGTTGAGGCAGAACGTCATACCATGGATTACCCCCCAAGTTAAACAGCGTATGAGAAAGAGGATTTCCACGAAAAGCAAGCAATACAACACCATTCTCAGTCGCAATGGTTGTTATATAAATCTGAGCGCAATAACGTGAACATCGAGATCCGTAGGGCAAAGTCAAAATATTTTAGTTGTGAGAAAACTGAGCATTGTACACTTTCTAAAAATGTTTAAAAAAGCCGGTCCTTGATAAATGCCAATTCGGGACGAAAACGTAAATCGCCGAGCGTTAAAGAGCTTTTAATTAATGATACAATTGTTTCTGATGATAAAGTTATTGCTGAATCTTTTAATGATTGTTTTACGAATATAGGAATAAACTTAGCAGCTGAGTATCTGAGTTTATTTACATAAACGACTGGAAATTAGCTCGAGTATCTTCGATTTATATATCAGAAGACCGAAAAAAGTGTGAAAATTACCGTCCAATTTCGATTCTGCCCATTATAAGCAAAGTATTCGAAAGAGAAGTGTTTACTCAAATATATAAATATCTGAATGAAAACTCGCTATTATCAAAATCTCAATCAGGATTTCGACCAAAACGTGGAACTGTGGGCGCGCTTATTCAGATGTGTGACCAATGGCTAAGTGATATGGATAAAGGCAAAATAAATGGAGTAGTATTTTTGGATATTCGTAAAGCGTTTGATTCTATTAACCATAAGATTTTATTGAGAAAGCTAAAAAATCAATTTGGAATACATGATATTGAACTGAAATGGTTTGAGTCCTACCTAACGAATAGAGAGCAAGTTTGCTTGATAAATGGCCACACATCTTTACCAAAGAAAATAAGATGCGATGTCCCCCAGGGTTCAATTCTAGGACCATTGTTATTTTTACTTTATGTAAACGATATGCCAGATCATTTGAAAAAAACAACTCCGTATCTCTATATCTCTATGCAGATGGTACTCAAATTTCGTCTTCCTCATATGATTTTGAGACATTAGCTGAAAATTTAAATGGTGGTCTAAATAATATTCAGAGGTGGCTTTTAAAAATAAGCTTCAACATCATCTCACCAAAACAAAAGTCATGTTTATTGCTTCATCTTAACTTCATCAATAAAATTGGAAATACGCCAATATTGATGAATAATACCCCAGTGCCTCGAACCAGCAAATATACATGTTTAGGGATGGACATTGACGAAAAATTTACTTGGGATGCACACATCGATTCGATATGTTCTAAAGTCAGTGCTGGAATTGGGGTTATGAAACGTATAAAGCCCTTCGTCCCACCACTATTGTTCCCCTCTGTGGGATACCTGTGGAAAAACACTTCAAGATAAACTACAAAAATTTCAATCCCGTGCCGCTAGAGTGATTGCAGGAGCCAGTTATGATAATAGGTCTACTGATGTTTTGGATGCTCTCGGTTGGCAAACACTTGATGTGAAACGTTTAGAAAATAAATTAATAATGATGTACAAAATACTTAATAACCACACTGCCCCTAATCTAAACGAGTGTTTCTGCAAAAGAAACACAACCCAGTCTAATTATGATTTGCGTAGCAGTGATACAGGCCTATGCTTACCTAAGCCTAATAGTGAATTTTTAAAGAAAACTTTTCGATATAGTGGTGCCATGCAATGGAATCATCTTTCTGAGGATTCAAAAAATTCTGAAACCCTTTCTTCTTTTAAAAGAAAAATACGTCAGGCATGAACACCTCCTTTGGATCGCACCAATTGTTAAGTTTTTATATAATTCCTTCCCTATCAATGACATCCTTTGCTTCCTTGTTTTTCTATATAGTTTAACTTGTATATAGTTTAATGTGTATGTTCTTTAATTCGTAAATAGTTATTGTGTGACGCCCCTCATGAAAGTTTTACCATACCATACCATCTACGGCGTAACATCGCCACAGTAGGGATAAATTTGTAACAAGGGACATAAATCTTAGTACTAATTATAATCTCAGAAATGCTGATATAAATCTTTCAGTTCCTAAACCACGTACTGAATATTTAAAAAAGAGTTTTGGATATACCGGGTCTGTTCTATGGAATAGTTTACCTACGCAGGCAAAGCAAACAGAATCTTTAAGTAGCTTCAAAAATTTGATAAAATAATGTGTGCTACAGAGTCAGGCATCGAATAGTCTTGGGTTTTTAACTTTTTTTATCTACGTATTTGTTATTCTATGTTATTCTATTTCATATTTAATTTATATTAGTTTTTAGAATGTAATTTGTGTGACGCCCCTCATGAAAATCATCCATGGGTGATGAGGGAAGCATGATTAAATAAAGTTTTACTATACTATTTACTATACTATACTATACTATACTATGCCCCTTATGAGCTAAACATCGAAATAACACGGGGCTCTAAAAAACTAGCATAGTTTTAGATTTAGGTTACCACATTTTAATCTTCAACTGAACATGGCTCATATACCGTGTTCATGTGTGATTTTGACATGTTTCGGGTGCTTCGCATGGCTTGCAAATAGAACACGTCATCTCTCTGAAAAATTTAAAATGGCACTCCCATCAAAATTTTTATTTTCTTATTAAACGAAAATGCTCTTTAAAATGCATAGTAACTTGTTTTGAAGATTTTTGTTCACATGCTTAATTCTTGAGATATTTCATTTGTTTGTAACCATGTGACGTCATTGACTCAATTACATATATAATGAGATGCCAGTAATTGTTGTGCATCTTTGCTATTTTATTATCAAAATCTTTCCAAAGATGCGGCGCGTTAGCTAATTTAACCTACATCATTAAGCATACCAGTTTTTTAAACAAACCATCAAAAATAGCAAAGATACAAAACAATTACTGATATCTCATTATATATGCAATTGAGTCAATGACGTCACATTGTTACAAACAAAATCGCAAGAATTAAGCATGGAAACAAAAATCTTCAAAAGAAGTTACTATACAGTTTTAAGAGTATTTTCGTTAGAGAAAATAAAAAAATTTGACGCGAGTGACACTTAAAATACTATATGGATAATTAACAATTAGACAACGAAGCCGAGTTATCTATGAGCGAATAGTCAACGAGGCGAAGCCGAAGTGACTATTCGTTCAGAGACAACGAGTTGTCTAATTGTTTTAGTATAAACCACATAAAGAAAACGGAATTTTTGACTTGATTTTTATGTAAAATAATTAACGAAATGAGCGTTTAAATGGCTTTCTTTGGCGACATTTCGCCTCGGCTTTGTTGACAGCTACTCAGTGTTGCGAACTCCAAACTTAAAAAACATGTCGTAAAACAGTATAATAGTAAGAGACCGTTATACAAGCAAAGTTTGGTTAATTAAAAGAAGGAAACAAGGCTTAAAAAGTCCAAAATTTCGAACACAAAATGGCTTCCCGAATTGTTACTAAATTAGTAAATAAAGTTTACGTTAAAAAGCCGAATAAAAATGCACACACAAAAGAATCCGATTATCCGAATGTCGTTGAAATCTTTAAAATATCTGGAACAGAAAGAGGCAAACCATAATCTAGTATACATAGACAATAGTTTAGATTAAGATTTAATTGAAGAACTCGACTTAAAAAGGCGAAAAACAAACTCGGCCAAAATCTCAACATTTAAACGAAAAAATCTCTTTAAAATGATAGCTAAATACATGAACTCGTACGTAAAACAAGCACACACTAAAGAGGTTGAGAAAATATGGATAAATAGCTACAAAGTATTGTTGAATGTCAACGATTCTGCTTGGAATATTAACAAAACATTGTGCATATATTTCAAAAACTCATTAATAATTCATGAGGAAAACACAAAGAGAAATCATAAGCGTGGCGTGTCTTTATATGTGATAAAACACGCTTCAAATTTCAACTTGTATTTTCTCAGCTAATACAAAGTTATTTTGGAAAATTATTTCGCCAATACCGTGATCTAACTGAGACGTTCTTGAAGCTGTTTAATAAACTCGTAGTTCGTGTTTTATCACATATAAAACGCTCGGCTGCGCCTCGCGTTTTATATGTGATAAAACACTCCTACTCGTTTATTAAACCGTACTTAAAAAATTGCCTGTCACTTTCATGCTCAAAACAACGAGTAAAGTTGAGAAAACTTAAATATTTTACCGCATGTGTTAGCAGTTTCAAAGAGTCTTTGTTCGTGTGTAATTTAGAACCAAAATTAGGCCATTTTGATAAGCTTTTTCCCTTTAAATACAGCTTGTAATACTTAAAATCGGCCATTGATTCTCGCGCCCTTCGCCGCTTGTTGCTACTAGTAGACTATCACTAATAGCCTACTAGTAGCTTAGCCAATCAGAATGCACGATACAAGATAGCCTACTATAGCTAGTAGGTTTATGCTAATTAACAGTTATTCTACGAACTCGTGTCGAATATGAGCTGATAGCCGATGAGGCGCGTAGCGCCGAATCGGCTATCGCTCATATTCGACGAGAGTGAATGGAATAACTGTTTTATTATATACA